AGTGGAGCCTGAGCAGTGGGTGTTGCCTTCTGACACACTTCCGGTGATGTCAGGGGGTGTGGCATATGCAAATAAGTTATGCTAATGAGTTATGCTAATGAGCTCCTGCACCTCTTTTTCTACGAAATGACCCCTGACCACCATACTGCCTGCCAACATTTTTCCTGGCGCCAAGTGCTTTTAGAAAGTGGGTGGGCCATGTGGGCTTCCTGCCTGGTAGGACTTCTGAGTAGCCATTGGACATCTGATTGGCTGTTAGGATTGCCCGCTCTGGGTTGGGAAATACATGGAGATTTGGGGGGTGGAGCCTAAGGAGGGTGGGGTTTGGGGAGGGGAGGGAATTAAATGGGGTATAATACCATAGAGTCCACCTTCCAAAGCAGCCATTTTGTACAGGTGAACTGATATCCAGTGGGAGATCTCCAGCCGTTACCTGGAGGTTGCCAACCCTATTGGTCATGTAGATTAAAATAATACCGTTTCAGTGGCAGCTGCCACCACAGTGGTAGTTACAGTCTCCCTTTCACTCCTCTTGTCCCTGACACTTGGGCTTCCAGTCTCTCTGTGTGTGTTCACCTCTTGTGGCAGCCAATTTGTGGCAAACTCCGCCTCCTGTTGCAGCCATCTTGTGGTTGCATCCACCCCGTGTCAGAATTCCAAAGGTTCCCACAGGCGCAAAAATGCTGGGGACCACTGGACCTGGTCTATACCTGCCTGATGCTCTGAAGTTAAAACCTGAAGAGGGCTTGCTTTTTCAAGCTAAATAAACAGCCACAGGCTTAGGGGGCTCTGCATTCAAATTCAAAATCAAATGCAAACTTTCAGAGCACACAAGAGAAAAAATGATCGGCTCAGAGGAACTCACCCACCACTGTTTCTGAATGAGTCAGGAGACACCTAAGGACAGCAACAAATAGGAGATCTCAGATAGGATCCTTAGTGGGTTTTTAAAAAGGGCCAAACAGCTGCCAGAAGAACCTGAACTGAGTCAGGGATGCAGTATCGGTAGTGGAACCCTTTCCTCCACGATATTTTGCAAATGTAAATCATCTTCCAGAGATGTTGTTGTGTGACCCTATGTGGCAAAACGTTGGCTCAAAACCAGACAGGATAAATACCATGCATTTCCTTCCACTGATCAAATGCAAACTGCCAGTCTGTGCAGCCTCAATTTGCCGCAGCGGTTAGCATTTTAAAGGGGGAAATCGGTTTGAAAGGACTTTTAAAAAATAGAGTGGGGAAGCCAGCTTCTAATAGCAAAAAGACTGGAGCCAGTCAACCTAAATTGGTCTGCAGGGCTCAGTACTGTCTCCTCTGTGGCACTCCAGGTTCTGGGGCAAGGCGGCTTCATTCTTAGCACCTCCTCCCTGAGATCCTTTAACTAGGTTCTTGCCAGGGATTGAACCAGGAACCCTCTGCTTGCAAACCCTATGGCCTATCGATAACATGTTGCATTTCCTAACAAGGAAACATCTATTTCAAGAGTAGAATTAAGCTGAGCAAGCTGTGCAGAGGGGAAAGCATTTGATCATGTACACTTTCTTCCTATTATGGTTTTCTTGTATGATGATGGTGGGGATGATGATGTAGAAATTTTGTATGTGTTTATCTATTTACAAAAAGAGTGTATGAATATTTTTGGAAGGAAAAAATATCATAGGCCCGGTCACATGGGAGGTTTTGCCCCGGAAGAGGGACGGATCGGGGGCGCATCAAACGGGCGCGATCACACCGCAACATCTGGGAAGCGGCGTGCACCCGTCCCCGATCTGTCCCTTCAGGTTGATAACGTGCAGCAAAAAAGAACCTACAAAAGAGCAGTACCTACCTGAAATGCTGCAGCAAGGGTGGCCGTGGGATCGCCGGCGCGCCCGTCTTCAGGAGCATTCGAGACTCCCGGCCGAACTGTGCATGCGCGCACATGCGCAGCCGGCTGCTCCTTGCGCTCCCCCCCCCCCGGCATCTAATTGTGCCGCAACTGCGTGGCGGCTCGGGGGATCTGTCTGATCCCGTTGCCGTGCGTCTATTTTGCTGTGGCTCAGAAAAGCCGCGCTTTGGCCGTGCTCCCCCCCCCCGTGTGACCGGGGCCATAATTGATTATTTTGATTAGTGTCTAATATCACAGTTTTTTCCCTATTGCTGAGGTGTCTGTCTTGGGCCACTCTGAGCCTTTCTGTCCTAAAAAGCCCTTGCTGTCTTAGTCCTATCAAACGTGGGGGTGGGGTAGGAACATTCCATGACTAACTCAGCATTAGGCCTGGGTGGTAGGAAGCAGGAGCAGAATCAGGCCATCTCCCAGGCAAGGCCAGCTTCAAAGCTGAATCTGAGGACAGAAACTTTGCATGTTTGTTCCCACCCCCAACAGGATCAGCTAGGATGGGGGCTTCTTCCCTCTGTGAAAGACACTGTGCCATTTAGCAATGTGTTGTGCCAGTTCTCCTGGAGGAAATGGCTCCTTTGAAGGGTGGGCGCTATGGCATTATACCACACTGAGGTATCTCCCCTTCCGAAATCCTCCCCTCCCCAGGCTCCACCCATCAATCTCTAGGAATTTCCCACCCCAGAATTGGTAGCACTCGTCTGCCTCCATTCATGCAGCGGCTGTCTGGCTCCAAGATGGGTCACCTCGGGACTGGCCAACAGTGACATGGGGCCTCTTTGTGCCACACTCCCAAATGGGGCAGCAAAAAGAGTTGATCCAGCCCCTCCGCAGTCCAGGCACAATTCTGTGTTTCGATGTCAGATAGCAGCTTGAAAAGATGCTATGTTGAATGGAACAATCAGCTTTGTTCATTGAAACTCCGAACAAAAGTTTGTGCACAGGATAAAGAACAACCCACTACATTTCCAATCAGAGGCCCAGCCCAATCCCCTACACCCTTTTCAAGAAGGCTAGGAGCAAGTGGCACCTCTGAAACATCATGCTTTAATAGGCATATGGTGGAGAAAAACTACAAGCAGACACACCTGCCGCACCCACAACTGCTACTCTGATAGTACTAGGATATTCAGAATCTGATTAGCAAAATGTGCGATCCAACTGGTGCGGGAAGGAAAATGGGCAGGTAAGTTCCAGTGAGTGCTGCTGGAGCTGTGCTGTGCAAGGGAACGTTCTTTTTAGGGTTTTGTACAGTCTCGCCACTGGGTTGCCAGCTCCAGCTTGGGAGATGCCTCCTCACCAATGACTGTAGCTTGTTATTTGCCATGTCCCAACAGAATTCCCATGGCTCAGCTGGGCACCCCTTCCTACGGCAGCCACTTCACTCCTCCTTTCTCAGCCCTGATGTAATACCTGCCCCTGCCCCCTCGTTTCTTACAACTGCTACCACCCGTGCTCTTAGCACATTTGGGCTCATCATCCATGGGGTCGCGAAGAGTCGGACTCGACTGTACGACTGAACAACAACAACAACTGCAGGGTTTGGTTCTCTGGCCAAGCCACACAAGTGACCGTATGGGGTGGCACCAGTGCTTCCTCAGGAGTCAGCACACTTTCAGCCATCAGCTGTGTGCCTAGGGGCATGGCATTACCTTCTGGGACCACACCACTGCTGGCTACCATGTCCTTTGCTTAGGGCAACAAAATGCCTTGACCTGGTCCTGTTCACCTGCCACCTTCATCCCCGGCTTTTCTTCCGCAGAACTGCCTGTGCCAATGGGGTGCTAGGAAGGGAAACTTGTCGCACTCAAATGTTGCCTGTTTGGGCTTTTCCACAGGTTTTGCTGCCACTTGGCTTCTTAACTGCATCATCCCCCCATCCCCTGTCCCCCAAGTATTGTTTTCCGGATGTTGCTCTTTGAGTTAAAGTTTGTCCCATGTTTTCTTCAGGAAAACCCTTACAACGTGCCACTTGAGGCATTTGCTGATTGGATTGGGGATGGCCTGTCTCTCCAGCTCATTCCCCAAAAACAAGGGTTGCCAGCCTCCAGGTGGGGCCTGGAGATCTCCCAGAATTACAACTTCCAAATGACAGAGATCAGTTCCTCTAGAGAAAATGGCTGCTTTGGAACCTGGAGGGTGGACTCTATGGCATTACATCCCAATGAAGTCCCTCCCCTCTACATTGTCAGCCCCAGGTTGGGAAATACCTGGGGATTTTGGGGGTGAAATCTGAGGAGGGTGGGGTTTGGAGAGGGAAGGGACTTCAATGGGGTATAATGCCATAGAGTCCAACTTCCAAACCATTTACTCCAGGTGAACCGATCTCTGTTGCCTTGAGATCAGTTGTAATAGCAGAAGATCTCCAGCTACCACCTGGAAGTTGGCAACCCTACTACCCTCTCCAAATCCCACCTTTCACCCCCAAAATCTCCAGGTATTTCCCAACCTGGAGATGGCAACCCTACAAAAGTCCTGTCCCCATTCAATGCTGGCCACTAGCCTTCAGTGGACAGGGGGAAGGCCCTTGTCACCCCAAGCAATGCTGCAAGGATTTGGCTTGGACCTGCCTGATGCTGGTCCAGGCCCAGAGGAAGAGATGCTGGTTGCTTCTCATGGCTTTAAAGGAGTGAAACCTCTGCAATGCATCAAGGCCCTTTGCCTCATGCCACCTCTAGCAGTCACCCAGGTGGCTTGGCTTGAGAACCAACCCCGGGACAGAGACATGCCTGTTCCTCGTGAAAGCATGTGAGGGCAAAAGGAAGCCTGGCCTGGGACGCAGCCCCTTAGCAGAGGGAGAAACGCCGTGAGTTGATATTCATGCGCGTGACCCCAATGTGTTTGAGGGGCATGGAGAGCAAGAAGGCAGCCTTTGGTGGAATGTTGCACAGCAGGTCAGAGTCCTCTTCGCAGTCCTCCAGCCCAAAGGTGGCGTCATCCAGCATCTCCTTGTGTTCGTGGCAGGCCTGCTCCACCTTCAGCCGGTGAATCTGGCCACGCAGGCCCATGAGTTGCCGGGCCAGCTGGTGGTCCAGGGCCTTCATCTCCCGCTGGAGAAGAGTGGAAAGAGAGGGTGAGGATGCAAGGGCTACATACCAGGGTTGATTCCAGGCAGAAACGTATGTTTTCCCAACCCTCACCCCGCCACAACAAAACCACATGACAGAATACCAAGTATATAAATAACTTAAAAATTGATTTGGGAATGTCAAGCCGGTGAAGACTTATTTTTCTTCTGTTTGATGTTCCCACACAAATTCTTATTAGCCCTTCTTCTCTGCTTGTGTGTTTTTATGCACATGTTTGCCCTGAACTAGATGGCCTAGGCTAGCCTGATCTCCTCAGATCTTGGAAGCTAAGCAGGGTCAAGCCTGGTTAGTACTTGGATAGATTATCATGGAAAACCAAGGTTGCTGTGCAGAGGGAGGCAATGGCAAACCACCTCTGAACGTCTCTTGCCTTGGAAACCCCACAAGGGGTCACCACAAGACAGTCAAATACAATGCGACATTGTGGCACTTTCCACCACCATGTATGTTTATATTTTTATGTGTTTATATTATGTTTCATATATTCTAAATTGTGTGTGTCCGTGTATGTACATATGTTAAATGCGTTTTCATTATTGAACTGTTCGAAATGTTTAACATTTGCCACCTTGGAGCCCTGAATGAGGTGGAAAGGTGACATAGAAGGTTTTTTAATAAATAAAAACACATGTATATGGCAAACACAAAACAGCAAATTAACAGCAGATACTGGAAATTGCATTAACTCCTTCCTAAGAATTCCCTTGTGCCATTATTATAATTGATACTTTTTGTGCTCACTTTAATACATTAATTGTTTCTCTTTGTTCTTTCTCATTAAGAGCTGGATTTTTTTAAAATTGAGAAATGCAATCAGAATGCACACCCAGCTTACTTTTAGCAGCTTTCAGAACAAGCTATTTTATCATTCCTTCTGAAAAACAGGTAGAAGGTTGTTGGCCTGCAAGGCTGTTGTGAAGTTGAATGTCATAGGGATTGTGAAGTGTTTGGGGGCAACCACTCTCCCCCCATCCATCAAGGACAATCCCAAGAAACAATGGTTGTAAAGAATACCAGTCAGAATGGATATAGTGCTTTAGAATTATCAAAGGAATCCATATTCAATAGCTCAGCAATCTTCACAACAACCCCATAAGGTAGCTTGGTATTATTAACATCATCATAATCCACAGACTGCAGCAGGGAGGGGGTGGTTGAGTGATGCAGAGAGTCACCCTGTGAGTTCACAGTTGAGGTGACATTTGAATTAGAGACTCAGGAACTCAGATTCTTAGCTACTCCAGCACAGACAAATTCCAGGGGGGTAGCTGTGCTTGTCTGCTTCAACCAAAGGAACAAAGTCTTGTGGCACCTTAAATGCTACTGAATGCACTGGGGCAGAAACTTCTGGCTCAGGAAAAGGTCTGCCACAATAAATATGTTAGTTTAAGTGCCACGGGATTCTTTGCCGCAGCTGAAACTAATTTTTGGCTAACCATCAGCAAGGTGAGGAATACACATCAGGTGATGCTTGGCTTGACCAACAGGAGTGATTCTCCTGCTTGGTGCTCCATACCTTCTTGAGTCTGGAGCCGGGGAGTTCCATACTTTCCTTTTTGGATCTGGGGCTCCTTTCTACTGCCCTTGGGAGGCCACATTCTTTTTCCCTGTCCCATCAGTACTTACCAGTTCCACCCGGAGCCATTCCAAGGCATCATCAATGGTGGGGAACCCACAAATGGTCTTCAGCGGCTCCTGGGTCTGGGGCCTCTCCTCCTCCACCTCTCTGGTCTGCTTTTCTTTCAAGGTTTGGAGGGCTCCATCCTTCAGGCTGTTTCTCCAGGACGGGCTCTGTACCCGGGCCTTCCACTCCAGGTAGGAAGGACGGCGTGTTTGCAACTTCAGCTTCACTGTCAAGGCCTTGACACTGTCCAGGTTCTCCTCCTCCGAATTGGACTCCTCTTCCCCCAGCTCCTTGAACCTCACCAGGGACATAGCAGAGGTGTGCGGGGGCAAATGACAAACTGACTCACGGTCTTTTGATTGGGCATATATATATGTGTGCGTGTATGCGTGCGTACATATACAAAAGCTGTTTATTCTTGGAACAATAAAGCTCTTGGAATTTAAAAAAAAGCAGGAACTTTAATTATCCAGAGACTTAAAAAAAAAAACCTGTATTATTGTCTCCAGCTAGGAGGAGACACCCTGTTCTTTGAAAGGAAGTTTCAGCAAGGACATGCAAGCCAGAAAGAG